GTCGCGGAGACGGGGACGGGTATCATAAAACCCGTACCCGCCCCGCCCCGCCCCGTTGCCATCCCTAGTTCCATCATCAACAACTAAAATACGAAGAATGTCAACTTTTATTCAAAACATTTACAAATTATAGTAAGTGTAAAAATATTAGGTAATTGAGAATCATAAATGATATAATTAAATATTGAAGTACAAAATAATGTGTATATATAAATATATAATAATAATAATCAAATAATATCACAATATTTAAAACTTTAAAAGACACGACTCAAATATTTGAAGAATATAATTGAAAATTAGCGTGAAGTAAGATTGAACAAGTGCCTTACTTTAAAAAAAAAAATTACAAAATGTACAATATTTTGGATAATATCGATTTAATCAATAATCAACAATAAATTTAAAGTAATTAAAAAGCGCGTAAAAAAATACGTATATTTTGTTGCCTAAAATAAAAAATTTGTGAAGTTTTTGCATGAGTGATTTCGGAAGCGGAGGCGCCAAACGAAACTTTCCCGGCAAACCCCGCGCGCGCGAACATTCAAATAGCGACTTCGATCTAATTTGGATTCCACAATCTCCTCCTCCTATTCTCGCCATTTTCAGCTCCCTAATCCCTTCAAAATGCAAACGCCAAATCCTAGTTAACGTCGTGTTTGGGATCCAAACCCACAAATGGACGTTTTCGAGTTAGCCAAGAAACTCGCTCTCTCCGACTCCAAACTCGTCGTCCAGAAAGCGGCGGAGCTCCGCCGCCTCTGCGACGTCCAGTTCGATTCCTCCGTCATCGGAGTCGTAAGCCTCTTTCTTCCTCTCATTTCCATTCCAATCCGTTTAATTCACTTGATTCCGTTCTGAATCTCTTTATATGCTTTTCTTAGGGCGAGGTCGCGAAGTCTCTCATATGCTTGGAAATCGCCGCCACGAGGCTCGGCGTTATCTTCGACCGATCCTCTGCGGTGAGGCTCAGCGGAATGTCCGAAAGAGCCTACATCAGATCCTACAACTCGCTCCACAACGGCCTTGGCGTCAAGTTCGTTTTCGCTTTTCTTTCCATTCTTTCAGCTTTTCTTTGTTTTCTTTCTGTTAACGGAGTGTTTGGTGTTTCAGGATGAAGATAGATGTGAGGGAATTGGCGATTCAGTTCGGCTGCGTTTGCATTATTCCTCTCGTTCGCGACGGTCTCAAACTGTGAGTTATCCGCCACGTGTTCGATGAAACGCCGTCGTTGTTTCGCGTTTTGCTGAATTGTCTATTGTTTGTGTGCAGATATAAGGATCGGTTTGTCTCGTCGTTGCCGGTCTCTCGCCGTGCAAGCGCTGTTTTCACGCGTCCTGTGTTCACCGCCGTTGCTTTTTATTTGTGTGCTAAAAAACACAAGGTACCTTGAATAGACTTAATTTGGATATCATATAATGAACACGTTAATATTTGTTGCAATTAGAATGATTTTAATTTGCGGTTGTGGCGTAATCCTTGACATTGTGGAAAATTGCGGATGCTATTGCTTTGGGTCAAGAAACATTTGTGTTGTGGCTGCAATTGCGGCTGTGGATCACAATTTAAAACCAATTGGAGTTATTAGATAGTTATAGACGGTAGGGTTTTTGGAAATGGTTATGATTTTTAGGGTTGTTGAGACTGAATTGTGGTCACAGTTGTAGCTGCATTGACTGTACTTGTCTGCAGATTTCTGTAAATTGAAGGATTTGGATGGAATTGTGACTGATTTATAGCCTTTATTGTTATGTGAAATGTCCTTTTGCTTTGGTTTAAGTTGTGGTTGTGTTTGTTTTGCAGCTGAAAGTAGACAAACTTAAGTTAATCGAGCTCTGCGGTACATCTGAATCTGAGTTTTCTAGTGTAAGTTCTGTTCGTGAATGTTGCGTTTGTAATGGTTTTATTGGATTTATAATTGTGATTAGTGTTGGCGATTTTAAAATTGGTTGTGAATGGCTCTGCTGTAGGTTTATGTTACAATGAAGGATTTGTGCCATGATGTTTTTGGGGTGGCAAAGGAAAAGAAGGATCCTAAGGAACTGCAGTCTAATCGAGGTATACATCTTTCTCTATTTGGTTCTTCATTCTTGATCATAATGCTTACGCGTATTACTTAAAGTGAGCTATTCTATTCATGTATTTAATAGCTATTTTCGCATTGAGCAATTTCCTTTTTGTGTCTTTCCGTCTTTCTGTAGACTTGCTTGATGTTTTGCCAAGTAAAAGGAAAGCTGAAGAAGGTGGTTCATCCGATGATGGTGCAGAGGTACTATTGTCTAGCATATATATATATATATATATTAATCTTACTAGCATTTTTGTTTCCTTGGAAAGATATATTTTGCCCTAAAGATTTCTGTTCCTCAATAAATTCAACGGGCACTGCACAAATATACTGTTCTTTTTGGAGTTAATTTGTTCTTCTCTTTCATTATGTTATGTATATAAAAAATTCAGGGATGTACTTTCTATGCAATTCTTTCACATGAAGCTCTAAAACATTTTAACCACCGATTGTTTTGAAGCTCAGTTTGTGCTGGCTTTAGCCAAATTTGGCCCAATACATTCATCATAGTTCTCTATAGATTATTTTGTAGCAATGTCTTCTGTATTGTAATGATGGGTTTTAGTAGTAAGAAGTCAGAATAACTAAAATTTACTTGATCCATTAGTTTCTCCTTATGCTTCAATGTGGTAACCATTAACTATCATTTCCAAACATAGATGCACGGTCCTATTTTGGATAGCTCTATTTATATTGATCAATTATTAACAAAGTCCTTTTGTAATTTCAATCCAATATCTATTAGAGGCTAGTTTTCTTTAGTTCTTCCTTCAATTGCTGTGTGATAGTGGATGCATAATGTACTACATATGACTAACCGGGGAAATAAGTCAGGTGTGTCTGATATGGAGGATATGATATCAGGGTACCCAAATTTCTACTTAGCTATTAAAAAAGCCACCGAAGGTTTGCCTTGACTTTCAGTTTTCACTTTCTGGTTTTCTTAGGACACGAGACTAGCTGGCTCTCCGCAACCTAAATAAGGACTATGTCTGCTCGGCTTTAAGATTATACTGAGATTTATGAGAAGTTGCTTATTGTATGGATTCCTCTCTATTTTAGCAAAGGGTCATTTTTAGTTGATTCCACCAACTTACAGTAATTTCAATTTGGAAAAAGAATTTGTTATTGCATAATTGTGGCTTTAAATGTCTAAACCAGTCAGTGTTGTCGAATTCTTTCTGTTCTCCAAAATAAATTCACCACAATCTAGCCTCCATCTTGTATTTTGTTTAAAAAGTGATGATGGTCACGGTTAATCTTGAATGCAAGATCACCATAACATGCCTTTTCATCGCTCTATTGCTCTATGTACTCTCACCATTGTGTTCCAACGGTGTGTATTTGTTTAGTATTTCGATAGCTTTTTGCTGTAAAATGGGTTTTTTCAATTTTTATGAATAATGAAGTATTCATTTTTATGTTTCTATATTTTTGACTATGGAATTCAACCAACATTTATTGTGTATCCAGCTTTCAAGTTATAAAAAAGCCAAAAAAATGGGAAAACGTGATTACGAGAAGTGGAAATCTTCTGTTCTTGCATCCAATCGTCAAAAAAAGACGAAAGGTATTGGGACAATTCTTGCATTTTCTTTTTCCCCAAATGAGCCAAAGACAGTTGACCCTATTTGTTTCTTTACTCTTTGTAGCGCCTTGCAAGCGAACTAAACAGACTCGTCTCAACTTTATCAAGGAATCTCCCGATACTAAGGAGTTGGAGGCCATGTGAGATGGTATTGTTATGTTTTACGATGAAAGATGATTTAGGTGGAAGTTCAGCACAGTATGAAAAAAAAGGATGAAGAAAGATGACATTAACTGATATAGATGAAGGATGTCCTTTGTGGAATTTCCAAAGCATTAGTTTATAGCAAGAGCTATGTACAGACTGGCATCCCCTTTGTTTAATTTATTGGTATTTGGCTTCAAAAAGGGTCATGAATACAATTACATACGCCAAGATAGTTCGTGCATATGTACATTTTTATTCGTATATATTGAGCACTTTTTACTTGACATAACGATTTGACTTTCAAATATTTAGTTAAGTTTTTAAATTTTCTATGGGTATAGCTGGAGGCATGCATGATAATTTTGATAACATAGCTGGAAACGTGATTATTGACATTATTCGTTATACAAATGATTCTATACAAAATAAAAGAACACTTGCTTCACGTACAATAGTTGAAGTTTGATATGTATAGTTGGAATTTTTTACTATTATAATACTTTTTTAAAAAAAGTTCTAAAATGAACCTCTTTCTAATATTTACATAATCGAACTTTTTTTTTTTAGCTTTTGAAATTTGGTTTTCCGGATATTGAATTCTGAACAACATATTTTGTTTTGTTTTTTATTTTTATTTTTTTATGTAAAAATTGTTTTATTAATTATATAAATTTGTATATAAAATAATTTATAATTATAAAAATTAAGATATTAATAATTTATATTTTTATAAAGTAATAAATATAATATTTTATAATTTAAATAAATTATAATTTCAATGAGTTATAATTTTAATAATATATAATTTTAAATTATTAAAATTATATATTAATGCCTTGCTTGCATAACATGCACGTAAGATGTGGGTCCCATCATATAATAGTTCGTCTCAAAGGTGAGCTTCACAAGGAATCAATGCTCTGCTCGCATAAGTACACTTAAGATGCGGGCCACATAGGGGATCAATGCCCTTAGAACGCGTGACTAAAATGTCATAGTCTGTCTCAGACATGGTCCCACAAGAAATCAATGCCTTGCTCACATAACGTACACTTAAGACATGGGCTCCACAGGGAATTAATGCCCTCAACATGTGTGACTGACATGTGATAGTTGGTCTTAGAGATGGACCCCACAATTACAGATAAGGGAATCCAAGACTAGGATTTCATTTTTCATTTCAAACAAATCCTAAACCATTATAAATAAACATAATGTTGTTGAGTTGCCCACACTCAAAAACACTTGCATTCACTCCCAAAATCTCTTTTGACCTTTCTTAATTTCAAAACATGTCTTCAATATATGTCATTGTTCACTTTGATGGCGCCATTAACACTTGTCCTAATGAAGGAGTCACGTTCAGCTCACTGTCAGCCAAATTGGTTCAAGCAAGGAGAGGAGTCACTCTACAAAGGCTGAAGAAAATAATCCACACAAAACTTCGGCAACACAAAAAAGAAAGGGTGACAATCACACATTTTTACTGCCCAATTAGACTTGGGTAGGGGTGAGCAATTACAAATCTATTGAGTTGAATGATAATGAAGATGTTGAGTCAATCTTCAACATTCATGACACAAATGAACTTCAATCAAGTATAAAAATATATGTTATGTTTAATACTTGTACATCATCATCTTACCCTACCCAGCCACCACAAATTTCACCTTCATTCACCTTACCTTACCCACGAAACTCCAAACCCACATATTCCAACCCATGATATGAATTTTGATTACGACATGCTGTCCTACACTCAACTTTTAACGGGTCCATTCATGGACCTCAATCAACTACCATCCCAGCCAATCCAAGAATCCTAGCTAATCCAAGAAACCCACATTGAAGGGAATGCTATTGTAGGTCTCCCAACTGAAGTTTTTGATCCTTTTAAAGAGGACGAAGACAAAATCCTAGCACAAGAGCAAAATCATGACGAAGACGCCAAGCCACTTGCAAAGATTCCACCATCTGCACCATACTTATCATATACCCCAGCTCAACATTTTTTAGACTTCCTGACTCTCATACATGAACATGATTTGGAGTTTAGTCATGTTCTAGGTCGAGAAACGCTAGTCTATCCGCCTAGAACACTATTTATTGGCCAACATTTCATAACAAAAGAACAAGTGTAGGATGCCATCAATAAATATCATATTGTCAATCACTGCATGTACAAGGTCCAAATGTTAAGCCAAACTAGGCTTGTAGTGGAATGTGTGATAAGTGTCTAATTAGCCTGATGAAATATAAATTTGAGACACTTATCTAGCATAATTTTTGTATATATTGATATAATTTTGGCCAATATACTTAGAATCAAATAGGGGCTCTTAATTTACGTATTTACAGGGAGTGATGAGTCTTTTGATTAGATTTTCCTCTTATTTTGTAGCTTTTGAAGTCTGGAGGCAAACGGCTCAGCCCTTCAAAAGGGCTGAGCGCTTTCAAGCTAGAGAGCTTAGCAAGTGCAACAGAGGAGAGGCGCTCAACCATTCCCAAGCGCTGAGCGATTTTGGTCCTGGAAGAATGAGTGCTCTTTGCCTCCTAGGCGCTCAACGAATTTCAAGCGCTCACCCCCTTTGCTTGCTTCATTGTGAAGAATTGTCTCAAGTGCTCAGCGGATTTCAAGGGCCCAACCCTTCATATTACTTCATGTTGAAGAATTCTCCAAACCGTTCAGCCGTTTTGAGGCACTGAGCGGTTCCTTCTCTTTCCTGCCTACCCTGTTTTAATTCCAGCACCTATAAAAGGGTAGAGGAGAGAGAAAACAAAGAACAAGTTGCACGAGAGAAGAATAGAGACGAAAGAACAAAACAGAGCACCTTGGAGCTCGTGGGAACACGGTTCTTCAGAGGATATTTTTCTTCTACCTTTCCTCTTGTTACTTTGTGCTTTCTTCTTCTATGGAGAGCTAAAGCTCTAGGGTTGGGATTGATGTAGTCATTGAACTCCTGTGTATTCCTTTTTGATTCATATATATATTACATCTATTATTCAGTGCTAGTGATTTGTATTCTATTCTTAATGCTTAGATAAACTGATCATTTATCTTTGATCTTGGATTTAGAATTTGGTTGGAAAATATTTTCTGAATCTAGACTTGAAACAAATCACCTATTAGTTTTGAAAGCTAGGGATGGTTTCAAAATTAATAATTGCAATAAGTTCTGATTCTTAATGCAAGACATTTAACTGAATGAAGTGAGGAATCTTTCATTGAGTTAAATATCTTAGAATTTCTTATGCCAAGGAATTGGGTCTGAATGAATATAGATAACTCAATGGCAATGAGTAATAGAATCATTTGCAAGAAGCAATAGGAATACATAAAAGGGAGATTGATAAAATTTAATCCAAACTGTTCATCATATCTGTTTTCTTAAATTTAATCTGACTTTTGGTTATTTAAGTTTAAAAGCACTGATCACATGAAATATCTAACATGTGTGAAAATTCAAGCTTTGAATTTACAAGTAACAATTAGCATAATAGAAATCAAAATCTACTTCACAAGTCCCGAGGATCGACAACCTTTTAACTATATTACAGAGACTTGGGTGCGCTTGCTCGGAAAACCAACAGTGTGTTGATGTCAAGTGTGATTAGCAATGTCAAGCAATATTGTGCACTAAAGAGCAATATTGGGAAATAATGAAGCTGGAAGGGCCCCACACATGTGTTTTGCCACTCATTTCATAGGACCATAATAAGTTGGGCTCACGAATGATTTCTCAAACCATTCGTGAAATTATTGAGTCTGATCTTTCCAGACCCATCTCAATCATCATAGCCCATATAAAGTCAACAATGGGCTATACCATCACCTACAGAAAGGGATGGTTGGCAAAACAACTGGTGATTGAAGACATTTTTGGCAATTGGGAGGAGTTGTACCACAAGTTACCTAGTCTATTGCAAGCAATGCAACTCTATATACTCAAATTCATTTGGAAGTTGAATACGCAACCGACATACCAAGGTGACATGTTGGACGAGGGAAACGTTTTCTTCACGAGGCTTTTCTGGACTTTCAAGCCATGCATTGATGGTTTTGCTCACTGTAAACCAATTGTTCAAGTGGATGGAACATTTTTGTACGACAAGTACAAAGGGACGTTATTGGTGGTAGTTGTAGAAGATGGTCGCAACAACATAATTCTCATTGCATTTGCTGTGGTTGAAGGAGAAACTAGTGATGCATGGTTCTTTTTTTTAAGAAACCTTTCGAGGTATGTAACACTACAAGAGGGGTCATGCCTCATTTCGGATCATCATAAGACTATCAAAAGTGCATACTCTAGAAATGAAAGTGGTTGGACTGAAAATATTTCTGTCCATGTTTATTGCATTAGACATATTGCACAAAACTTCATGCGACGATTTAAAAATGTTGCATTGAAGAAAGATGTCGTCAATATGAGTAATTTTAAAACTTTCTTTAGTTATTATTTTTTTTACACTTGTTTAGCTACTTATATTAATTTAATTTATAAACTTGTTTTTAGCATATGGCATGGTTGAGCCTAGATTCTTTTACTATTATAACATAGTAAGAGATAATAATCTTGAAGCAACATAATGGTCGAACAACATTCCAAGGGAAAAATGGACGCTTGCATGGGATAACGAACGACGTTGGGGACACATGACAACAAACCTAGCAGAGTCAATTAATTCGATCCTCAAGAAAACAAGGAACCTCCCCATTTGCTCCATTATCATGGCAACATACACCTACTACAATAAATTCTTTATCGAGAGAGGAAGGGAGGTACATGCCATGATTAATGCTGGATGTTAAGTCTCAATTATACCTCTTTTTGGACAAGACTTAATAGACAATTTCACTCATTCTTTGAACCATTGCAATACAATTGTTCTATTTTTGATTCACTTTTTATGCAGATATAGCTAACCCATATTTAGCTAACAATACCTTAATACACCTCATTTTTTGTGCAGGTATTGAGCTAGTGAATTGAGGATGGAAGACCTTAGGATTGGAAATCTAAGGAGTAGGGAGCAGAGCAGAGTGGCTGCACCGGGCGCAAGATGACCCGCGCCGGGCTTGAGAAGAACAGAGTGTTCCACCTCTGAAAGTCACGCCTGCGCCGGGTGCGAGACTACCTCCGCCGGGCGCGATCGAGACAGAGAGTACCTTAAACTCTCTGGAAGATATTGCGCCGGGCGTAAAAGGAAATTGTGCCAGGCTTACACTGAGGCAGAGAGTGCTCAAAAGACCCTGCGCCGGGCGCGAAGACTTACCCGCCGGGTGCGAAACCCTAATCTGATCTCCCCAAGCTCGTATTTGAAGCCATTTTCGAGGGAGAAACCCTCATTCACGCAGGGGCGCCTCCTTGGAGCGGTAGAAGGGATTCTCCGAGCTTGGGAACTTTCGTGTGTGGATCTTTCCTTCGGTTCTTCATTTCTCCTTTCATCTTTATTTTGTATTTGCCCTCATTGTTGTGAGTGGTTTCACCCATTTTTTGTGGGGTTAGATGTAACCAACGAATTCTAATGTAATCCTTACGTTTAATGATATATATATACATGTTGTTTCATCCATTGTTGTGTTTGTTTCTATTCTTAATGCTTGCTTTGGATTGATCACCCTTTGCATGATTTAAGGTTCCGTTGAGTATTAGGAAATACCATTGAAACTAGTTCTGAAACATTTGCCTAGTGGTGATTGTATCTAGGGATAGAGCTTGACCCATTAGTAGTCTTAAACCCTAGCCCGTAATGCGGGTGTAGATATTGGGTACTCAAGGGATTGATAGTCAATATCCACACCTAGGCTCTTTCTCTAAGGGATTAGGTTTGAGTAAACTTATGGGTTGACTAAGCAATGTATGTAACAAGAGATTAAGGATTCTTTAGTCTGACGTTTGGTGAAATATGACCCCCACAACCTCACACAACCATATTACCATCTCTATCCTTTTCCACTCACAAACCAATATTTATTTATAGCTTTCATTCCAATAGTCACAACTTTGAATTCACATGACAGACTATGAAATTGGAATTATTCTTTAGTCACGAATAGTCAATAAATGCTTATTTTACCTTCTAATCCCTGTGGATACGATATTTTTACTACTTGAACGGCCGGTATACTTGCCGTGTTTGAGACCGTTGATAGAATTTAACAAATTTACAATTATAACAAAAGTGTTTCAACGGAAATCTCAACACTGGACATGTCTATTTGGAAGTTACGTCAAAAATAATTCAAGATACGCAATCAAAGGCAAATACTCATAGAGTGATCACTTTTGATAGAATAAGCACAAGATTTTTAGTAGAAGAGACACAACATCTTAGAGAAATTCGACCAACAGGGAGGTTTATAGTAAGGTTAGATGAGATGTGGTATGATTGTGACAAATTTCAGAAAGTTCACATCTCATGCTCACATGTTATTGTTGTATGCTTACACGCACACCACAATTTTAACGTCTACGTATCTCCCATCTATACCTTACAACAAATCTCAAGGTATATGAAGGACAATTTGGAAATTGAGACAGGAAGATTATTGACTAACTTACAATGGTCCAACTTTGTATCCAAATCTAGAATTTAAAAGAAGTTTCAAGGGTCGACCCAAGTCATGTAAAATAAGAACAAAGATGAATATTAGAGAGCAATAAAGCCGTGTAAAACATTATTCGAATTCCTATTATCACACTTCTGGTCATACAAGGAAGAGATATTTAAACATTGTTCAAGGGGGCCATTAATTTTTGTTGTCAACAATTTTTTTCTTTCATGTATAATTTCTAAATTAATATCAGTAATTACCTTATTAAAATTATAAAATAATAATTATCATTATATATGAACAATAAATTTTTTTATACCATAATCTTTTTATAAAATTAAATTATTTAAATAAACAAATACACATAATATTTTATTTTATATATAGAT